TTTTGATGGGTTTCTAATGGGATACATTAGCTGAGCCAGGCTAATGACTCTGATGCTGGTGGACAAACACCATCTTCTGTCTCCCCAGCTGGATTTTTTAGTAGATTCAGCTCAGTATGTTGGCAGAAAATTATTTTACTTCCCTCTTTTTTTCCTGTGTTTTCTGCTGGGGAACTGAGTTGAAATCATTCACTGACAAGGTCTAACATCAAATTGAAGAAGGGTGGGTGGCAGGAAAAAAAGGAAGGAAAAAGAAAGAAAAGTGAGCCCCATTTTGGAGTCAGCTATCCCCATCTTAAGAAAATCACAGCCTCGCTATGGGGCAAAAGCTTAGCTTTTGTATCAGAGTACGATGTAGTCAGGAGTGCAGCCACCACCTGCAGTGCCTCACTGTAGCCATTGCACCCAATCACCATCATACAGCCTGTGCTGGACAGGAGCAGGACAGTGTTTTGTCAGCAGTCCTTGATTTCATGGTAAGAGGTGCTCAGTAACAAGAGCCAAGGTTGGAGACCACAGTTCTTCATTTAGGGCAGGATGGTAAAACTTGGCAGCACTAGCCCCAGCCACACTGCTGTGTCTTAGCACCAGGGAAGCTGCAAACCATTGCTGTGAGCTTGCAACTTGCTGCCAAAGCAGCTGTGATACCCTCAGTCAAAACTGCAAATAACTGAGTTGTCCTCTCTCATCTAAAATACAGAGATTAGGACATCTACTCTCCTACCAGTATTAGACAAAACCACAAAAGCAGTTTAAATCCAAACTCTCCCTTCCAGACATTTAACTTTTCACAGCCTTAATACAAGTAGTAATTAGATAAACTGTGGTCAGTCAATTCCTTTATCTGTCCACAAATAAAGACTGAATAATAGATTGCATTAAATGCCCTTCAAAACTAGTAAGTTTATTTTTGTACTGGGATATTACTTGGGAATAATATTCTGTCTATATATGTTTAACTTTTTCAACAAGTAGTCTGTGTAGGGCTGCTACACCAGGACTTACCAGACAGTCTGCCATCAGCACTGCTGGAGTTACTACAGATATCACAAAGCAGAACAGAACTATTCCTATAATCACAGAATCACAGAATCAGAGCGTGGGTAAGGTCGGAAGGAACCACAGTGTATCTTCTGTTTCAAGCTCCCTGTTCAGCCGGGTCATCCTAAAGCACACAGCACATGATTGTGTCCAGATGGTTCTTGAATATATCCAGTGAAGGTGAGTCCTCTCTGGGGAATCTGTTCCTGTATGTGTTTAGAGAGATGTCCAGTGCCTCAATAATCTTTGTTGCCCTCTACTGGATCTGCTCCAGAGCTCCATGTCTCTTTTGCACTGAGGAGCCCAGAGCTGGACACAGTATTCCAGGTGAGGCCTCACCAGAGCTGAGTAGAGGAGCAGGATCACCTCCCCCTAACCTGTTGGCACTGCTCCCCTGAATGCAGCCCAGGATGTCACTGGCCTTGGCTCCAGGGCACTGCTGGCTCATGGGGAGTTGTTGTCCAGCAGGATCCCAGCTCCTTTTCCACAGAGCTGCTTCCCAGCAGGTCACCCCCAGCCTGTGCTGGTGCCTGGGGCTGTTCCTCCCCAGGTGCAGGACCCTGCTTTTGCCTTTGCTGAATTTCAGAAGGTTTCTCTCTGCCCATCTCTCCAGGTGTTGAGGCCCTTCTGAAGGGCTGCAGAGCCCTCTGGGGTATGGGCCACTCCTCCCAGCTTTGTGTTGTCAGTGAAATTGCTGAGCAGGCCTCTGCCCCTTCACCCAAGTCATTGATGGGTAAGTTAAACAAGACTGGGCCCACTATTGAACCCTGGGGGACACCACTGGGGACAGGCCTCCAACTAGAGCCTGTGCCACTGATTATGATCTCTGGGGTCTGCTGTTTAGCCAGTTCTCAGTGCACCTGCCCATCCTCCCATTCAGTCCACTCTTCCTGAATTTCCCTGTGAGAAACAGCATCAAAAGCCTCACTGCAGCTGAGGTAGACAAGATTGCTGCTCTCCCCTCATCCATCCACATAGTTACTAAATTGTAAAAGGCAAATCAGGTTGGTCAAGCATTATTTATCTTCAGTGAATCCATGCTGATTACCCTGATCACCTTCTTCTGTGGATAGAAGTAGCCTCCAGAATGAGGCACTTCCGCACCTGTCCAGGGATTGGGGTGTGGCTAACCAGTCAGTAATTTCCTGGGCTCTCTTTCTTTCCTTTTGAACACTGGGGTGACATTTGTTTTTCAATCTGCAGGCACCTCTCCATGACCTTTCAAAGGCGATCATGAGCAGCCTCAGCTATGGTGTCCACCAAGTCTCTTAGCACTTGCAGATGCATTCCATCAGGGTGCACAGATTTGTGGATGTCTAGCTGTTCTCCAACACCTTTTCCTCCCTGACCAAGGTAAAGTCTCCCTTCCAGCATTCCTTTACCCTGGTCTCCTGAGTCAGAGATTCCTGAGGGCTGTTCTTGCCAATGCAAAGGCAGTGTTCAGTAACTCTGTGTTCTCTATGTCCTCTGTTACCAGGGTCCCCCTTCATTTAGTGGCCCGTATTATTCGTCCTTTTCCTTTTGTTACTGATGTATTTGCAGACATCCTTCTTGTTGTCCTTGATGTCCATGGCCAAATTTAATTCCAGTTGGGCCCTGGCCTCCCTCGTGATAATACTGAGGCTATCACAATAAGCATACACACTCCACTGGTTATCCCCCTAACCACACAAGCCAAGGTTGCCCACATGCCCTGCTAAGTCAAGGGTACCTCACTGCTGCTGGACATCAGCACAGACCATCCTAATACTGTAGTAATCAACAATTTAGGCAGCATGTAGAGTCAAAAAGTCATGGGAAATGTTTGTTTTGACCTCTCAGTTCAAAACCCAAGAGTGACAGTCTTCTTTCTTCTGAGGTCTGTGTTGAGGATGAATTACAGCACTGATGTGTAGCAGTATTTTGAAGAGCTGCTTGCAGCATGGCACACGTACAGAGCAGAGAGGGGCTGGGCTGGGGAGGAGAGGTGGGAAACAGAGATCTGCTGCCCCACAAAGGCCAGTTGATATCCATCCCCTTGCTGCAGAACAGGAAAGGAAATGTAGGGAGCTATATCAAATACTTCAATAGCTGTCACTGGGAAGCGTTGAGATGAGTGCCAGTGGGGGAGAAACAGAAACCTAACTTCCCTAGAGGTCAGCTCCACAGCTGAGCTCTCATCTGGCACTGTGAGAGAGGTCCTTGGCATGGAATGCTTGCACTCCAGCACATACTAAGCACACCTGCATGAGTCCTCAGTGGAAAACAATAAAAAAATCCTGGAGCAGCACTGGCCTTGCACAACTGTTCTTCGCTATATCACAGTAAAAGCACTGCTGTGAAAAGGCAAGTCAGTGCAAACAGCAATCAGATATCTGGCCTCATCTGGGAACTGGGCAGCTGTCTTTCTGGCTTCACCTGAAATCCCCCTGTGCTTCTGTCCCTTTCACCTACAACTCAGATATGCCACAGCAATGAAAGTCAAAGACACAGCTTGTAGTCACTTCAGTTGAGTCATTATTTAGCCTCAACTCCCAAAGCAACAAGTTACAAAAGGAGGGCTCTACAATATGAACAATTGCTTGTGCCCACTGCCTACCCTGAGAGACAGCGGATGGTAAACGGAAGACTGTAGAACTGGTGGTTACACTACCATGGTCTGTCAGACACAGGAAACCCAGACTTTAGCCTTGCTACATGTGGAAAAGAAAGAGATCACAGCCAGGCTGAGTCACCTGCATAAAGCTTCCTGGGAGGTCAGATATTTATTATAGTGGAAACCTCTGCCCTTAGACTTTTCAGTGACACATCTGCTATCTATTCCATCCCCAGAACATACCTTTAGTAAGGCTTAAGTGAGGTGCAGACACTGCCACCTCCGTCTCACAGAGGAACATTTAACCCTAGGAATACAGAAAAAAAAGGTTATAGGTGCTAGGTGGCTTACTTCTATTTCTATTTGCTACCTTTTTTTCACCTCTTCTTTGGAATTAGTGATGATTAAAGTCATTGCACAGTTGCAGATCTAAAGAATTTGAAAGATATGTAGGAATGTGAAGAAATACAGACATAAAGCAGAAAGAAACACAACAATTAAAAACTGCAAAACAAGAAAGCCTCTCCAAAGGCTGTTTGGTCCAATACCTAGCGGAAGTCAGCCAAGCTTGTCTCTTTCATTGACTTCAGCAGGCACTCAATTACCCCAGCAGACTTGTCTAAAGCCTCACTACAGCCCTAGCACATTCCTAGTGGAACTTATACTTAGTTTAATTACTTGAAAAGTACTGGTCCTAATTTTAAGTGTCAAGAATTATAATTGTTCACTGAAATAGTGAATTTGTTAGTGTTTTTCCCATACTCGTAGTAGAACAACTACATTACAAAGTAGAACAGCAGAACTTGTTATTTCAAGGCTTTAAGGTCCAAATTCTGCCTTCAGATTCGCATGCACATTTCCCATTGTCTGCAATGGAAACAGATGATGTGTAGCTAAGTTAAACTGGTATTCCAGCACTTAAAACTATCCAGCTTTTTACCTTTCAGTAGAAATTATTTTAAAATTTCTGTAGAAATATCATTACACTCTCTATTGTTTTGTGGATTTTAAATGATGGCTTAAGACATAGTTGATGCCATTTTTCTGTACAGCTGGGATAAGACTGCAGATTTTTCTGCACTGTTGATTTTCCCAAAATACTGAAAGAGTGCTCTGTGTCAATAATTTTACATTACATAGACACAGTGATAAAATATATCAACCTATGCTTAAAGAGGTAAAATTATGTGTGACAATGGTTTTGCCATTATACTTTTGCATATTGTTGAGAACAATACTTTTCAGCCTAAACACCGGCAATATTTTGATCCCAGAAAATCAACATACCCCAGAAGTTAAAAATGGCATTTAGCTGACTTCATAACTTTTGTAGAGTAAATGAGCCTCAGGAAACATAATAAAAACAGACAAAAAATGCTGTAAATGGTTTTGTGACTTACATTGATGTATTTCTTATTTCTTGGTCTTGCTGATCAAGAATAAGCTAGCAGGTAAGAAGCAGCAGCCAATGATAAGTTTGTCTTCTCCACTGTGGGAGGTCATGTTAAAATACTAAGTTAAAAAAATGCTTCAGAACAGAATTGCTACGTAAGCCTCCCTGGGGATTTACACTCATTAATGTGTGCATGTTAAAAATGGTATATTCAGTCTATCTTGTGTTGCCTGAGAACCATTTTTATCCTTTTAAAATCTCCATTCATATTATAACCCATAAGTACCTTTCATTCTTGCATTAACACTATAAATACTGTTAGTAATACTAAACTATTTCTGTTGCCTTATTTGTAAAAAGAAAAATATATTATATGTTTATATATTCTTATAAAGTGAATTAACACTGGAGAGAGGGCTACGAGGGGGAATAGTGTACAATCACAGCTGACGTGTATTACTGAGCACAAACTGAATGCTTGAAACAAAAAGGAAAAGAAAACAGTGTTCAGTGTTCTTTCAAGCCGTGTCAGACGAAGAGTCATAGGATGCTGACACTATGAAGTTGCCAGTATTGGAGTGGCTTGCCATGGACTGGGCAGCCTGCTGGCTCAAGTTATTGCAGATCAGCACCAGCTGGTTGCTCTGAGCTTCTGAGAGGGTGCTGCAGCTCTGGTAGACGCTGAAGTTGGTCTTGCGGCCAGGGATGTTGCCTTTCTCACACATGGTCTTCACCATCTTGGCAAGCTTGTTTTTCCCCAGGGCTTGGCAATTGTACCAGTGAAGTGCAGCCAAGTTGACAACGGGTTTGATGGACAGGTAAAAAGGCGCATCCTCGTAGCGCATGGCCGGAGGGCGCCGCTGGGCGTACTCCTTGTAGTCCTGCACGGGGCAGGTCTGCGGGGAGTGCTGGGTGGCGTACACCCGTGAATCCGTCCCGCCTCTCTTGCTCTTGGTACTCACATCCCCATTGTCTGGCCCCATCCACTCCAGGTACTCCAGCCCAGTCTCTGTCACCCGCAGCCGGATGTCTCCCCACTTGAGGGTGGACCCATGGAAACCCGTGCAGTGTCCAAATGCCTTAGTGTTGTTCAGCCACACAAGGTTCAGAAGCCCTTCAGGATTGTACCGGCTCAATAAGCCTCTTTTCCGCAGGATAAGCTCATCAGCAAAGGTGAGCTTCATGGATTTGTGTGGTTTGTTTCCTTTGCCTTTACACCTCAGCTCTATCTGCTTTTGCTTTAAAGCTTCCTGGGACCTCTTGAACTCCTTATCCCTTGTAATACTGTATCCATACCTGTGCTCTTTGAGATACCGCTCCAGTCCACACTGATAGTTGGCCAGACTGTTTGGCTCATATTCAGACCCATCTTTTTGTCTGGCGTCCACAAAGAAGGATGCAAGATAGGCATCAAGCTCTTTGCAGGGGATGACATAGATCTCACGGGTCTCAGAGGGATACTTGGAAATCAGGAATTCTCGGAAATTGCGGAGAGCTGTCTGCGTGCTGCGAATGGTCTTCTCATTCTGCTCCCTGCTGAGCTCTGCTGCTCTCTCATCCTGGTCTGGAAGTGAAAGAATGGGACAGAAAAGAGAAAGCAGAAGCAGTGAGTTTATGTGATGCACTTTTTCCTAAAACAAATTTCCTTAAAAAGGAAAGAACTTAAAACCAATTTCACAAAGAGCACTGGTGAACATCTTTACATACCTGACACATGACTGAAATGCCAACTTCAGTTTAACAAATGACATACTATATGATACAAAACTAAGTGAGCTCCTCATGACACTGGGGCACACAAAGGCAAGCTGGAATGATTTTCTGCGGATCCCAATGTTGTGTGCAAGGCCCAAACTCAGGAATAAGCCCACTCTGAATTCCTTTGTAAAACCAGAGGTTGTACTGCTTACATTTTTTTCCTACTAAAAAAGAGCTAAAGCATAATATTTATGACAGTAATATTTACCTTTAATCAAACACGTTTTTCAAGAGTGAAATAAATATAGTCAGAACATACAGCACAAAATAAGGCTGCACATCCTACACAAATGACAGATGAAATTGCTATAGAGCAACGTGCAATTTACAAATGTACAAGAACAAAGAAAGTATACTTAATACGTTCATATCAGACAACATGGAAAAAACCATGATTATACAGCCTCTCTATGTCATCAAACTGTACCTTGACAGTACAAGTACAATTATGACCCTGTCTTTTCATTTTGCAGAAAAATCAAATTCTGGAAACAATATATTGCTTTAAAAGGCTATACATACTCATCAATCCTTACAATCAATGACATATCAAAACACAATATTCAGATGCTACCACTATGTTAGCTATTACTGTCAGCTGACTTTCTGGATGATCATAAGGGAAGCATAAAAAGGAAAAGCTTTACAAGCAATGTGTGTTTTTAAGGACTGTTTTCTTGACATGTGCAAACTATCTGAACAAGAATGCAGCTTAAAGCATATAGGTGAAACTGTCATTATGAATGTGATAAATCTTCATGGTTTTAGAAAATTAACAGCAAATGCAAAGAAGCAAAAATTCAATTATTTAACTGTTTTCTGGAATTGTATGTGAAACACTTTTTGTCTCTCTTCCACTTTACAAGCAGGAGAGGGGAAAAAATTAACCCAAGTTCTTTTCCATTTGGTCTCACTGCAAAACCCATATTTTCACATCCTTTTAGAGTGCCATAGCAACCCTCACCAGATGTTTCCCACCCAAGATAACACACAGAGTGATATGAGACCAGAGAAGTTCCCGTTGCCTCTCTGCCATTCAGGTCAAGATTATGTCAGGCTGTGTAGCACACCCATGGCTTTGCACCAGTGCTCAGTCATTTGCTCCTCTCTTCCCTGTAAGCCTATTAGCAGGGGAGAAGGCAGCAGGAAAAGGAAGGCAGTCTCTCCTTCCCTACCCCACCTACAGTGTTCCATGTGATGCAGAAACACTGGTGCAGAGCTGGGCAGCTTCTCCTACCAATCTACAGAGTGCCTCTCAAGAAAGTTCATCCCATCACCTCCACACATGTGCAGACAGAGGCACAGGAAATTACTTGCTCCAAGACTTCCCAGCAGGACAAAAGCAGGACTGAGTTTATAACCATCACAACCAGGTCCTGCGTCTTCAGAGAGAGGCATCCTGCATCCACACCACTCACCCACTGAGTAGGGGGCTTCTCAAATCCTCTGCAAAGCAGAGAGAAGTGGGCATCTGCAACTGAGGCTTTTGAGGGCTTCTGTAGACAGGAAAAAAAGCTGCCAAAAAGGACTGAGGTTTGCTTGAACTGTGCTTCAGGGGAAAATGAAAGGTCACCTGCCTGATTCAGAAACTCATTTTAATACTGATGTAATTATCAAAGAGCTTCTAGCAGCCTGCAGTGAAGCCTCATGCTTTAGGCAATGTACATAATAGATCCTTTCAGTGTGGCTAGATGCAGGCTGGAAACAAAAAGACAGCCCTGTTCAAAGCTCCAAAACAAACATTTACTCTGGTATTTTGTTCACTGCACCCACCACCACTTATTATAAAACTGTGTAAGTAATCACTGCTTTGACTGACAGCCCACATCCTAAGTTCTATTTCAATATAAACAGCACATATAACAGCTCAGTTTTATAAATGTCATCAATCACTTCTTCTTAGAGGATAGCCTGTCACAACACAGCAGTGACACCCAGTCAGTCATTTATGTTACAGCATCTTTCCTTAATCTGCAAAGGAAATTGCTCTATCTGCAGCTAACAGTTATAAAATCCATGCTGAATTAAAGATTCTCTGCACTTACATTGCTGAAACAGTATCCAGCATTCCTGCAATAGTGTGTTGTGTGTTCCTTCACAAGGCAGGTGGGAAACGTTAAAAAAGAATGGGTCAGATTTTCCTGCAGCCATATCAGGAGAGCTACCTCTACTTTGGCTGTGAATCCAGGCTGAAGTAGTAGTAATGGATTATTCTCTCTCTACTGGACCACTCAAATATTGGTCATGTATCATGTAGCATGGCAAAAATGCAGGGACTTTCCCATGGAACAGTTCCCAGATGTTTGCTTTGTCTCACTTTGCTGATCTTGCTTAATAGAGACCAAAAATCTTTTTAATGTTCTGTGGAGCTAGTGGAAACTAGAAACATTGGTGGGGATCTACATTAGCTCCTTGACTACTGCAAACATAAACCTGTTTGCTCTTGAACCTCCATTATTCAGTGCATCATCAACTCTTCAGTGTGCATACGTTCCAAAACTGGGTGAAAGCACAGAAAAAAAAGCCACTAAGGCTCCTAGAGAACATTTCTATATCAGAATGTCCCCAAGCTGCAAATTTATGTGGGATAGGAGAATGAAGAGGTGTTACATATGCTCTCACCTTTCTTATAGTCTTCCGTATGTCTCTGTTGTTAGGATACAAATAGTCATGTGTTACAGTCTGATTTCTCTCAGTTGGCTGGTCAGAGCCAATCAACCGAAAAATACTATCATCCATCAATGAAGCCAAGCTATCCTTAGTATCTTTTCCTTGTTATAACATAGTCTTTGGAACTAGTAGTGCTGTTATCCCTGTTTTACAAGATTACAAGCAGAAGCATAAAAAAATTAATTGGAGATACATTTCCTGAGGTCCTGCCCCTTCAGCTGCATTCCGCCCACACAAAGGACCTGATTATAACCCTTGCATTTTTTATCATATCCCACATCAGAGTTTCATTTCCAAGAAAACCAGAGTGTGGCAGAAAAAGACAGTAAAACCCACCTTACTGGGGGGTCCAAGGTAAACTCCCAACTATGAGTTTGAAAAAGTGATGAGTACTTAAGATGTTCTAGTTCAAATGCAGTGAAAGAGATAAAGTGACCAGGCGGAGATTAAACAGACAACCTAGTGGGAGCAGATGTCCCAGGCTAGCCCACGACCATCAGATGATCTCTCCCACAGAGCAACAGCTGTTTTCTGATCTTTTCATAATCTGATCTTAACACAGCCAAGACTTAATACTATCAGCAGAGTTATCAAACTCAGGCTTGTTTTAATTTCAGCTCACACACATACACAGACTTGGACTCCCTGAAAAGAACATAACCTCTGTAATTACATATGGCAGGGGGAAAGGCACTTGCTTTCATGACAGACAGATATAGATTGTTACTGTTCAGAGAGCATTTTTGACATCAGTGGGAGTCGCAAACCTGAATTACTATTGCAATCAGTCTTAAACACTGCATACTGTAAGCAGTGAGATCTCACAGATGTACATTAAAAGTAAGGTGGGTTTTCTTGGTGGTAATCATATCACCAGCTGAAGTCTTTGCCAAATTTTTGTCTGGACTAGGAAAATGCCTCTGCAGCAGGCCTTCTTCCACCAACATGCTTTCATTCAAGTGAAAAAGCCTAGTTAACCACACATGAAGTACCACATCTTTCTATGCCACAGCTAAGTGCCCTCTCTCCACTCTCCAGCACCTTGTAGGTCAGCTGTTGCCCCTGTTTTGAAGTTAGTGAAAAGTAGTGATATCCAGCCTTTGGGCCATGGCAATGTGCAGCCCATTAAAACTGTTCAAGTAAACCACAGCCTACTCCTACCTTTTTCTCCTGTCCCTTCCTGTTTCAGGAAGGTATCTCTAGGCAAACCACACTCTCAAACCTACAGTCTCGGTGAGCAGAGGTCACGCTGCTGGGTGAAGGAGTCATGGTCAAGTCACAATGGGGAACAGCTGCATAAGCCTCTGACAAATGTGGCCCCCTGGAAGCTGCACTATTGCTTCCCTGTCAGGACCAGCTGAATACCACTGTCATACCACAGCATCCTGAAATATTAGTACTTGCTCTCCATGCTAAACTTAGAAAGCTGACAGCTGGTTTTCACCACATCACAAGAATAAACCAATGAAAACCATTTCCAAGTCTTGCTGCCAAAAATGAGGATGAGGGTAAGAGCAGAAGTTGTCCACAGCAGAAGTGCCTCTAAACATTTGCAGAAACATCTTGAGATTAAGTAGAAGAAATTACTTTTGTATTTTTTTCTTGAATTTCTGCCCTAGCACTCTAATGTTGGTACTAAATTCTGTTTAACATTTAAAGTTCCTTGCTCCCACTATATTAAGTTATATTAAGTTAAACTGTATTTCAACATTTAAAATACTGAACTCTAGTTTAACATTTTCATAAAAGGCTTTCATTAGCATGTAAAATCTGGAGTATTAGAGAATTAATTAATATCCACTTATGAAAGACACTATGTTTTTGGCAAAAAAAAAGTTATACTTCTATTCAGGTAACCTTCTCCAATGAAATTATCTTCAAAATGTTAGATGATTCTAAAATTAAAAAGCTTTAGATTATGTCAAAGAAGAAAGGACATAGACTGCAAACAAATGAGTATGAGAATATATATTCATTGGTATCTCTATGAAGTAAAGTCACTAAAAGAGACTTTAGTCACCTGTACATTTTTTTTCAAGGTATAGAATGGCCTGATAGTGAATGCTCACTTGACACTAGAGATGATTTCCAGTTGGTGTTTTCTTTTGCTACTTCCTCACAACAGCTTCAAAAGAT